AGATTTGTAGTGGAGCATAATTTTGGCTTTTTTTAATGATTATAAGCCGGGGTGCATAACAGGTCCTACAGATCTAACTTAAAATTCCGTTGTGGTCGCCTTCGGTAGTCAAAAATTTCATGCTATACAATTTGACCTACTTGATATCAAAAATAGTGTTGAGTAAAACTAATGGAAATTGTGAATGATATCCATAAATGATTAATGAGATTAGAATTATGAAGCATTGGAATTATTAAAAAGACGGTTGTAGAGAAGAAAATTTTTTGGACGAAGTCACCAACTAGGCTGTTCATTCGTGTATTTATATTACATGTGTGAGAAAATTCCAGAATTATCTCCAGTATAAGGTCGAATTATTAAAATTACTAAGTGTTATAAACAGAAGATAGGCGGTGATTCATGTAAATAAATTAAGCAAGAAAGTTGTGTGAGTACTTTGATATGATTATGAGTGATAGTTTATGCTCAAAACGTCATCAGTAAATATTACTGTACAACACTGTGTGATTTATCAAAATAAAATCTTATCTATAATGGATTTATATTCTACCACAGTGCCCAGGTTTTATACTTATGTCAACTTGCAGATAGCTAGTGTTGTTTGACTGCTGCACCTTTCCAAGACAGATTTTGAATTCATGTTAACAATGGACGGTTGAGAATTTGAAGCGGATTTGCATTTTTATTGACCGATCACTTCTTGTATAATCTGCAATTAGTGTGACGGATTCAAACAAGAATATTGTTTGCACAAGATGAGTCAAATTAGGCGTTTATTATGCTCTGTTTGCCAGAATGTGTAACTCTCCTGGGTCTTAGTCTACCTTAAACTAAAATTTAAACCAAGGAAGCATCGGGTTGAAAAAGTGCCTAGAATAGTAAGAATACTATACGACATTTAACTTTAAAGTTTGTGTTTGTTGACCTGAAGCATTTTTACGAAGTGTAAGTCAAATTAGGTTTCTTATTTAAGACTGTAGGAAATATAGCTTCTTAATTTCGTTTAAATCTTACCATCACACTTATTTACACTCCTCATCTCATTTATGGGACAAATTTTCATAAACAATGGTCTTATAGCTCTTTATTTTATGTAGATTTCTCAATATAATGTATGACAACTTGGTTGGTTGAGTGCATGTGATAAAACTGAAGCTACTGATACCTCGCTGTTAACTTGATTTTACTAAAATGATCATACTATGACTTTCCTGTTTTGCATTTATTAAATAAGTTTTCTCATGATTTAACTCATTGTAAATTGAACTGACCTAATCTTGGGATGCATACAATTTTTCAAAAGAGTTTCATAACTGATGATTGTTTCACACATTGACAGTTACATCCCGTTAACCTGTACTGTATTACATATTATAAGTCAGGTACATATAACTTTTTAAAGCTGTTCGGAGTTTTAATGTATTGAACTGGCTTTGATCTAGGTTAGGAGACACTAAAGAAACCCTCACCAAGTATAACAAACACTGGATTTATGAAATGACGTCATATGTTATTGATAAATAATCAGGTGTTATAAGTCATTAAATAAACTCTGTCCATCTCTCACATCACAATGGTGAAACTGTTATGCGCTTAGAAAAAATTAAATAGTGTTAAGTAAACAATGACTGACACACTTTGCATGTTTACAATTTATCTGTTCGCAAGTATATATGTCCCGCTAGCAATGCATAAAACAGAGATGCAAGAAACCCCGAAAATCACCGAATATCTGTCATCTTCTTTGTTCCATTTTGGAATTTTTGAGGTGCTTTGAGATTTTCAATAATTCTATAGATGGTTTTGGCTTCAGGAAACAATTATTTTGAAACCAATGAATTCTTTGAAACTCCACCGGCAAAATGTAGCTTTGCATTTTTTTTCTGACTACTTCAAAATCCATCGATATTTTATCAAAACGACAAAACATTGATTATACCCGTCATTTGGGATAAAAATGCACAGATAAGGATTTCCAGGTTGACGATTTGCAGGTTTTTTCCATCAAAACTTTCAGGTTAGAGATTTGATTTGAACTTCTATACCAGGAAGTGAAAGTGTTTTTCACCGTTTGAAAATTTTAAGTGCATTGGATTTATCTCAATCCAATTTTACAACTTTCGACTTCATTTTCAGTGGGACCTACAGGCAAATTTAATTTATCAAACTTCTTTTCAATTATTGGTTTTGTAGGGACTTTGTTTGATTAGTTGGAGGATTTCACCATGAGCTGACATCAGTTAGAGAACCATTGGAAAACCTACCAAGGAGTACTGGACAGCTGTTTCGTCCTAGTTTTTTGGGACTCTTCATCAGTACGCAATCACCGCCAGGGTTCGAACCCAGGACCTTCTGGTTACAAGGTGAGCTATCTCGTAGACCATTAAGCCACTGGGACCCGACGCAATGGCCAGTCCATGAAATCCAACTTCTGCCAATTCATGGCATAGCGCGACTACTTCGCAATGTCTTCTTCGACCTGCTACATCCTACTGGTCACGGCTTCCCATTAGAACCCCAGGTTAACTTCCTGAATAGGGCGAACTGCTGGTGAGCATCAGATTAATTGTCAAGTATTGGTTTTCATTTTCATTAAGAAATATTGAGAAGTTGATGGTCAGAATGATTTACCGTAACTTCATGATTCAAGCATAACTAACTGAATGGCCATAGGGCGACCCACTCGACGACGATTTTCGCGACAGACTAACAAATGTGTGGCTGTTTTTCTCCTTTTTGAGAATCAGGCATTAATACGTCGTCTAAATAATATCACAGTGGATCAGATTTCCTCAGTGATCATGGACAAATCGGGCTCGATATCTTAAAATACCTTATCAAAACTCATCACAGAATTATATATTTGAAGCTAATAACAGGTCAGCAAGTACTGAGGGATTCAATAAAACAAAATGTATTCTAGGAATTTATTAAGGAAGAGTAGGAAAAGGCATAAATATTGTGAGATGTATCAATGATTGAAATTCGAGTAGAGTACGGTAGAAATAGTTACTTATAGCAAAAATAAATCACATTAAAAGACTGCAATAAATAAATATTTTACTGCCCCATGAATTGTGTTTTGACAGGGTGTGTTTGTGCACAAATTTATTTGTTCGTCCATCTAAACGATAGTGACGATCTAATGATTTTTTTGTGTGTTGTGTGCGTGTGTATGTAGGTTTGTATAGAATACCAAATGAAAAATAACTGCATTCATATATTTTTGTCTATTTGCTGTGGTTATCGGCTACCTAGTGAATAAAACTGGACTGTCTGTTTAGAGATTAGTGTTGTGAGCGTTTATTCTTCCATTCATTCATTCACCCACAGGCCTCCTTTCCCTCTTTCGTTCTATCAGTTGTCTTGCTTAAAGTGAAGTATGCTTCCTCTTACTTCGCGTTTATTGATTTCTTTACTGTTCCACTGTATGCTTACCATCTTGATCACTGATCAATAATGATGAAATGAAATGATGGATGAACGTTGTACTTTTTCTCTCTGTGTGCGAAATACTTTTCTCTATTCTCTTCATAATTATTATTGTCCTGACGCTGAAGCTTTTTTTAGCTTTATAGGACTTCTGAAAAACAGAAAAAAGAATAGACAGTAAATTGTTCAGCCTATTTTTGTACACTTTTTTTCCTTGAACCAGTTGACTGTTACTTAAGTGAAACAACCTGAATTGTCTTTCCTTCTTTTTTGAATTAGTAATAATAGTTCAAAATTGAATTTGTTCAAACGAGTGCATCAGTTTTTCTACCATTTAAACTGTTTGATAAAAACTAGCCAGGTAATAAGTAAGTGTAAACTGTAGTGTTACTTAGCTAACCCACCAATAGCTCATTTTCAGCGGCCGAACAATTGAGATAAGTGCGTCAGTTGAAGAAAGGCTGGCCTAAAGGAATAGGGCATGTTACTAATCTGTTCAGACATGGATAATGACTGTGAACGCCATGTCGTTAAGTAATCCGAAATACGGGATTATCAGTGAACGAGTATTTGGAAACATTCGTTCTAATGTATTTAAACAGCCTAGGAACATGTTAGTTAATTTCAGGCGAACACGGAGAGCTATCAGTGAACTAGATTTTGGACATACTTATCTTAATTTATTTGCATAAGCTAGTAACACATCTTGTGCCGTTAGACATCTATAGTAAAGAAATAAATGCACACATACATTTCAGTGGAAGGAGGATTTCATCACAGATGTATTTTTGAAGCTGTGAAATGAACTGCTGATAGTGCACTATGGTTGTACAAATGATTCATGTAGGCATCTGTGTGTTTCGATGCTGTGGTAAGAAAACGAGTGAATGTCTTTTGTAGTTAACTTCGTTAAAATGAATCGCATTGGAGTGAAGGTAGACAACACTTTAATGTGCTATTCAAACACATTAGAAAAAATGTATCCAAAAAATGTATCCTATATCTTCTGAATGACTTAGCCACACGTTATTTACTTTCACTGGTAGCACTGATATAATTAAACACAACTGAAACGAAGATCATGTGGAATGAATGTTGACTCAACTTCAACATACTTTTGATATTTGGTTTTGGAAGATTTACGGAAAGTTTGACTTACAAGAGCTATTTACAAGTCCACATCGCGACTGACTTTAAAACATCTGAAATTCTTCAGGTTTGCTAATACTCTTCCCTCTTAACTATTTATTCGCTCCATCGAAGCTGGTGACGCGTTATGTTGACAAGTGTCAGTAATCACGAAAATTGAGTAGACTAAAATTCACTGAAAACTTTTATTTGGTATGATCTTCACCCTGAGACTTTTTACGCAGTATTTTCTAGTATTTAGTTAGAAGTTGAATATCAGAATCATTAACCTCCTGTCTCAGTTTGCATGAAGAATTCAACTAAGCCAAACATTTATCCACTCCAATTGCACAGGCAAATGGTAAGCTTTTTTGCTGCTAAAACTTTCCTCTATGCTTTATAAAATAACTGAAACTTTTTGCATTTTTATTCTACAGATCCTGCTGGGACTAGGTCGTCCTATCCAAATGAATCCCTGTACCTGTCTTCTAAAGCTCCTGGACAATTACTTGGAAGTGCTCGTACTTCCACAGCACTAAACAGTCTTTCTTGCCAAACTGATTTAGAGACAGCCTACTCTAATATCGACTCACAACTTTTGGGGACTACAAAAGTATTATCTGATCGTTTTGGTGACTTCCTCACTTTACCCAGTGAACGTTGTCTGTCAGCTACTCAGGCTCAAAATTATCCCACACAGTCGTCTGTATATGAATGGGATACTTGCAATACACCGGCGAGAACAATGAACCTGCAAAATATTGATCGTTCACTTAAATCAAATAATTTGAATGGATTATTTATACTACATGTTATTGCTGGGAAGGGCCTGAATTCTACCCACATTATAGTCAGAGATCTTTATTGTGTCATTGAAATGGATTCGGTGCGTAAAGCTCGCTCAATGATCCGCACTAGCACAAGTTATTTTGAATGGAACGAAGTATTTGAACTTGATATGGAGGACAATAGATTTTTGGCTATTTTACTATACCAGTGGGATCCACGTACTAAACATCGATTATGTTTTTATGGTGGAATTGATTTAAAAAACCTACTTAGTAAGTTAACGTCATCGAATAGTACACCGTCTACATCGTATACACCAACAAGTGATGTTATTCTGAGTCCTTCGATTTCTATTGTATCTAAAAACTTACATAAAATTGCTTTGCAGCTTGAGCCAAGAGGTGTGCTATACTTAGAGCTTGGACATATACCACTGGATAAAATATTTCATCGTAACCAACACTTACTGAGCACTACCACGTTAAACTCAACAAGTGTTGATCGTTTGCTCTTCGGTGTATCTATCGATGAACTAATTGAACGTGAACGTGTTATCTGTCAGATTACTGAATACTACTCACCGAAACAATTAACTTACCAAAATACTACAGATTATATGTTTATTCCATTATTTATAAGAAAGTGTGTCGAAGAAATTGACAAACGTGGCTCAGATGTTGTTGGTGTTTATCGCCTAGCCGGTTCTGTATGGATGAAATTACAAGTACGTGAATTGTTTAACCGTGTTACGAAGTCGACGCTGAAAGCATTAGTTCATGAAGATGCTAAAGCAATTAAAGATATTATACAATTAGTGGATTTATCAGCACAGCGAATTCCAGATATTCATGCCATAACTGGTAAGTCTACTGCATTTATGTAAAATATCAAACATGGATTTTTTTCAAAGCAGATTTAAAAGTAGGTTTTATAAATTTAAATTATATGAACAGTGTCAAAAAATTTCGACCAAATGTTCTTTAAGACTAACTTATTTCATTTAAGCCTCAATGAGACTAGTAAAAATCATTTTTGTAAATAATTCTCTATTGAACTCTGAACTTACTAATAAATAACCGCCAATAATGATACTGAGGACAAGACATGAAGTCACTAAAAAGTCATATATGGATGTACGACATAAAGTTACAATACTTGTGGCTGCAAAGTGACTTATTTATTTAATAATAATAATAATAACAGCTTTATTCCAAACGGTATTTGTGGTACAGGTATGGAATTTTCAGCGTGCATTACAGTATATTGCATCTAATTACCTCATAAATTATATAAGATTTTTAAAAATCAAAGATAAATAAATAAAAATAAAATAAATAAGTTATAAATAAATAAAATAAATAAAAATTAAAAATTAAGAAAAAACAGCGTAGAGTATTTCATTTCAAACAATGCACCACAGGATTTGAAATATAAAGTTGATGTGTGATAGAAGATGAGAACAACAGTGTAATAGTAACGAGGAAAGGAAAACAAAAACTAATGGGACTATTTGTTAGAGTGCCGCAGTAAGTTTATCGTGTCATACCTAACGGATTTCTCATCACATAACAGCTGTGCCAGATATGGTATTGTGGAGTTTTTGTATTTGGTAGTCCTAGCATATAGCCTCCTATAGCTGCTTCTAGTTCTTCCAGATGAAATGCAAGGAGATAGATGCGTATAGAGAGGATGCTCGGGGTCCGACAATATTGTATTCGCTAGTTTCTTACATGACATAATATGTCTATCTACAATAGTGTTCACCAGTTGGTTTAACGATATCCCACTTGCCCTACTAACAGCTTTTAGTGCCCTTCTCAGCGAAGCAAAGTCTTTCTTAAGTAGTCCAGGAAAGACTAATGGGGAGCAGTAAAGGAGGATGGGTAGAATACAAGAATTTACAAACTGAGAAAGTAAAGACTGCTTTATGCCAGACTGCCTAAATTTCCTAATGTAGAACGTTAAGCGAAACATCTTTCTAGTAACTAGCAAGATGTGGGAAGACCAGGAAAGATCGGTGGAAAAACTCAGCCCAAGGTACTTGACATTAGATGTATTTTCAACCTCTGTGCCGTCAATGAGAGTGGGGCCATGTGAGCTAACTAGTTGCTGTAGGTCACATTTACGTCTGAAAGTGAAATTGACTACCTGACATTTAGACGGATTAAGCTTAAGTCCGTTTGAAGAGGACCACTGACTAATTTCCGACAGAAAGCTATTTAATTTGGAACAATCTGACTGAGAGTTGACAGGCATAGAAACCGAGAGGTCATCGGCATACTTAACAAAAGTGGCTACATCAGAATGAGGCAAGTCATGTAAGAAAAACGAAAACAGAAAGGGAGAAAGAACAGCACCTTGAGGAACACCAGCTAAAGTAAGTGAGGTAGTGGAGGATTTTCCATTGTAGACGGTGTACTGCTTCCTTTCAGAAAAATAGGAATGCAACCACTTATTTGTCCAGCTTTCAGCCTGTGTTGCAGCAAGCTTACTTAGCAAGAGAGACCTGGGAACAGAGTCAAATGCAGATGTGTAATCAAGGAAGGCACAGCGAACGTATTTAGCTCCTTTATCTAAACTAGAGACTATGCTATGGTGGAGGACGACAGCGGCATCTAACGTACTCCTACTATGTTTATAAGCAAACTGGTTGGGGTCGTTGAAAGGTTTTAAAGAGGGATCAAGATTAAGTAAAATAAGTCTTTCCATAACTTTCAAAAAGGGTGAGGTAATTGAAATGGGTCTAAACTTAACATTAGGTCCACTTGTAGATTTAGGCACTGGAACGATCTTGATGTTTTTCCATGATTCAGGTATAATACTTTTGGAAAACGATTCGTTGAAAATGTCAGTTAGCGGGGAACACAAGATGTCGGCACACTTCTTAAGGATAACAGCAGGAACACCATCAGGACCGAGGGACTGAGTAGGCTTGAGAGATTGAAGACACTTGAGGACATCATTCGTGTTAAAGCATGAGAAGCAGTCATTGTTTACACTATTTGAGTTAGGAATCATAACATTTGCTGGGATACATATGAAGGATTCATTAAGCATGTTAACATCTACAGAAATATCATTCAACATTTGCTTACCACCTGTGATTTCCTTTAATAACTTCCACATATTTGATGGGGATTTACATGAAAGAAACTTCTGGTTATAGAGAGCATTCAATCTTTGTAATTCAAGCTTAATCAAAGTGTTCATTCTCTTAACACCAGATTTGTTTTTCATTTTGAACAACCTTTCTTTTTCACGGCGGAGCTTTTTGAGTTGAGAAGAGGAGAAGCGATCGAATTTTAAGAAGATTGTCTCTTTTGGACAACAAACATCAAGACAGAAATTAAGATAATGTGTTATGTTGGCAATTGTGTTATCAAGAGCTTGTTCAGTAAATAGATCCCAGTTTGTGTCTTTTAACATGGACCTTAGGTTCAGTATGTTGTCATGGGAATAACATCTGTGTTGTGTTTTCTTTCCAAGGTATGAGAAGACCCTTTTGTGCTGCTTTCCATATACTTTGGGCAATATTCTTATGATACAGTGATCTGAATTTAGTAGTGGGGCTCTTTTTCGAGCTTCAAATATTCCTGCATCGTTTGTAAACACAAGGTCAAGAGTGTTGTCCATTCTAGTCGGGAAGTTGACAATATTATCGTGTCCAAGTGAAATTAGGAAGCTGTGGTCACTAGAATTAAAATCACCAGTAACTATAGACAAGGAATTTCCGAAGGAGGTGGCAGCAAGGGAAGTAAATTCATCCGCAAATAAAGATAATTCTGTGGAGTTGCATCCAGGAGCAATATACATGTTCGAGATGTAAATGTAGTTGTATTTTGACAAATGTTTAGGTCGACACTTAACGGTGAGACAGTCAATATTGTCACTAGAGAATTTGAAACATACATTATTAGACGTACACCATTGTGAATTGATGAAGATGGCGACACCGCCACCGCGTTTCTTCCTGGAACTACACCGATCTTGTCTGAATAGTTTGAAATTATTTAGATACACTAGATTGTCATCATATAGATCATGAAGCCATGTTTCTTGAAGTGATATGATCCCAGTATTATGATATATAATGGAAGACACCAGCGATTGAAGACAGTTAATTTTAGCCGGCAGGGAGCGACAATTGGTACTCATAATTGCGGGAACAGTCATGAATTGAATAGGGGTATTTTTTAATGCTCTCTGCCAGCCGGCATGATGCTTTTTCTTGTCTTTTTTATGGAGTTGCAGATCAGTAGGTTTTAAAGATATTAGATATTCACGAGAATAAATAATCCGATTTGAGGTCATATTTGAATAAGATTTATTGATTAAAATATCAATTAGAAATGAGAAATTAGATGCAATATGATTTGTAATGTTTAAGGTAATTGGTAGCCCAAGATTTAAGCAGGCCGCCAAGGTCAAGATGATCAAGGCGACAAAGCAAAGTAAAACACTTGTAGGAAACACCCTCTTAGGGTCAATAATCACTTTCACAAAATCCACCTCAGATACACTAATGAATATTTGGTTAAGATGTGATGCCATCTCTGAGGAAGCGGTGTTTTTAGTTTTCTTCGTAAATGAACATTTCTACAAATATAGAGAATCCTTAATTCATTTAATTCCCTGCATTAGCTGAATTATGTATAATAACATGTTAGTACCATGGCAACTAGAGATTTGTTGAGAATTCAGTCAAAGAGAAAACCCAACTAATTTGGAACAAATCTTATTAGTTTAAACAGATACAGGCTACGAAAACTCAGTGAGATTGAAAAACTGTTTCATTCCACTTTATAATATGGTAAATTAGATTTTTCTTATTGAGATTTACTCGAAACATGGGAAAACATTGGTAGTCATAGATTTATTGGAGAAGGAAATAATGATAGCTTTATCATATAACTATAATGTCGGAAAATTCAATTTTTTCTGATAATAAAATTCAATGCTTAAATATATCGTGTAAAAAGCCACATAACTACAGAACTGGTCTTTGGATGTAACACCATTTTGACAGAAGTTAAGCTGAAAAGGGTGTTTTCTTCCTAAACACATAGAAGATATAATCGCGTATCGGGTTTCCATTCTTTGAGCTTTCAAAAATGCAAATACCGTCAAACTTCTCAATTTTCGATAACATTTACTTAAAATATCGTGAGGATTTGTAGAAATTGTTCCCTCTAAAGTGGATGGTAACGAAGTAACTGGTTCCTCTTCTTCCACCTATACTAACCTGTTGATAAAAGTCAATATATTTAAGTCACTGATCATTACTTTTAGCTTTGATTGCCACCGCCCAACTTTTAAATGTGCATCTGTTAGCCTGACTGCCCTAAGTGCAATAAATATTAAAACCTGCCTTTGATGGCATGAGAAATACTAACTTCAAGTCAGTATGCCACATTAAGCAACAGGTTTTGTAAATCTTACAGTTTCCATCATCACGAGTGTTCTTGAACAGCTTTCTAACTTCACTGTTTGCAATGCCTACTCTGAAGGTGATTTCTAAATTGACTCAGAGGACTGGACATCGTCACTAAAGTATTAAAATTTTTACATTACATGCTGCATTATAAATACTTAGGTATTGGTTTAGACAAATTGAGGTACTAAAAAACTCAACAGCTGTCAGTCTTCGCTAACACACCCATCTTCAACAATTTTTGTATTCTCACCCGTCAGTAAAATAGTAGTAAGGTACATTTTATTGTCAACCTTAATAATTAATAAGTTACAAATACACGCATCTTACTTGAATATCTTTTCTCAGACAATAATGTTTGTGTGTCAAGTGCTGGAGGAAAGATGCTCACTTAGAATCTTCTCCTGTCACTAAAAGGTGTTTTAAACA